AACGCACTAGCCCAGGTTGGTCAAAGTATGCTAGGGTCTAACCAGGGTTTGTTCCTTTTGGAACCCTTTCCTTTCTGGGAGGTTTCCCCCACCCCAGAGCATATTCTGAAGTATGGGGCCACCTTTGGAATGACTTTTGAAAGGAAAACTACAACCAGCCAATCATCCAGGTGTGTCTTGTTGGTTGGAATTGGAACTAGTTGGGAGGCTGATTTCAAGGGAAGCCACCAGGAGACCCCATTTTGAAAGGAACCTATGTAGTTCGCTCAGATGTCCTGGTTTTTCCATGGTCTATTTAGATGGGTCATGCTTCCCCCCCCCCCCCTCCCCGTGTTTCAGTGACCGCCCCGCGCAGACCGTTTTCGATTTGTTCTTGCAATCAAGTTGTCTCACGTTGTGACAAAAGCAAGGTTCGCACCCTGAGTTCGGGGTTGAACAACGACTCGTGCACTGGGCTCACATTTTGCCGAACCTACGAGTAGCTCTAGAAGGTTCATTTGCTACAAATGAATTGTTGTTGTTCATTGTTGGTTGTCAACATGCTCTAAAGGGAAACATAGTCATTTCTGGCCAATGAGTTATTTATTTATGTTTGTGTCATCAAGCCCGCAACTCTGGACCTCGCGCTGCATTGTGTATGTGTGTTTTGCGACCTCGCACATGAAGAGTCCATTTAAGTTTACAGGGCCATTTCTTTTGCCAGGTCCATTCTCATTTCAGGTCAGCTATTCCGTTTGCCGCCCAGGCAAACGGAATAAGCATTCCGCAGCAATTTCACATGGAACCCCAGAAAGGGGTTTCTCAATCCAAGAATCAGTGGTTTTTGCATAGTTGCGGGGTCCATGTGAATTTGCAGGGGAGAGCCGTCGTCAAGTGGCCGACAGGATCTTCCGTTTGGCGTGGACTGCGTCGTGCCGCCTCAGCCTTGGTTCCTTCACACTTCGTGAGTTGGTGGGATCTTCCAGCTGCATACCTACAAACCAAAAAAAGCCAAATCAAAGCAAACAAACAAACAAACAAACAAACAAGGAGAAACATGGTTCAAGAGGCCCTGTGGTGTGTTGGCAAAAGCCAAGAACACAGACCAATTGCTTCAGGAGGGGGGGTTTGCATGGTAGGCATGCCGAGCAGGTCTGCAAGGAGGAAGTTGGGATCATCCAACATCAAGGATTTCAGGTGGTTGGACAATGTGGACAGCTACTGTACTCTTCTTCTGCTTTGTTTAGTGTTCGGCGCACGCCATCCAACACGTAGTTCTTTGACTTACTTTGAATTTCCTTAACTTTGCTCGGGCCAAGTTCTACAGGACACCAACGGTCCGAGGCCAAACCCGGGGCGCAACGGCACTCTGCTCCACCTCGCTCCCCGGCGATGAATTGTCGGGACTCGGGGCTTTGCGCTAGACGCGGATTGGGCGCTTCTCGCCCAGGATCACGGGTGTCCTGTGTCAGTTCTTCTTGGCTTAGCTTGAACATGGATGGCACTGGTTTCAGTAGAGTTCTATTTTTGCCATTTATTTTTCTATTCACCTTGGACAGGGATACTCATAGTGTTGAGGCCAACCTGTTCTGGGCAAATCATAGTGCCCTCGCCAAGCAGGTGTGCAACCCCAGCCAGGCTTGTTTTATTTTGTTGTGGGGGATGCCTATTGCTTTGTGGTGTGTCAATTATCATACTTCACCCAGATGAATGTGTGTAATTAGATAATGGGTGTCATGTGTGGCGGAACGTAGCAATATGTTGTGATAGAAATCTGGATGGCACCAAAAAACCGGGTGATGAGCTATCATTGATTGGTGATAAGGTATCATGTATGTTTGGGAAAATATTAGTAAATAGTGCCAACTGCAAGTGGAATAATGATGTCTGAGACGATTCCAAGTCCCTGTGTGGTGCGGACGCGCCTGTAGTTGTTCCTATGTTTGCCCAATTCTGGTTGATCACTCGAGAAAGGCCTCAGAATTGGTGGAGGAGGAGAACGGCGTAGAGGTCCTCCAGCGTCTCCTGGACGCAGGCTGTCAGTGCTGTGGGATGTTGTGTTTACACCCTGAAAGGGCACCCCTGAGAAGAGCACCCCCAACGCGCCTTAGCCAGGCGCCCGTTATTTCCAAGTCACAATCTCTGCCACTTCATGCAATGTGCTGAATTGACTGACTGGCAGGGCCAGTGAACTTGAGATTGTGCATTCTCATTAGTGCTTGTGTCCGCTCCATTTGGGGATTTGTCTGGAGAAAGTCCTGCGCTTGCATGCTCCACGTCAAGCAAACCCAGACGTGTTCAGTGTAGCCAAGGTCCCAAAAGTAAGCGTGTTTCTCAGGAATTCCACTTTGTTTGGGGTAGGAATCTTCAACTTACGACATGTTCCCAAAATTGCACTGGCAGGCGCGATGAGTTCTGTGCATGAAATCGAAACCCTGCTGCGGATGCAAGAAACACCGACCGCATTGAAGGCTGTTGTTTCTCACCGGAGGGATCAACATAAGCGAGCTAGCACGGGAGCAGTGTGACGGGTGTGCTTATTTGGTGAGCATACGGGAGCAGTGTGACGGGCGTTCCTGGCGGAAGCCACGTCTGGGCGCCAACATTCTACGCAGTGTCAACAAAAGACATACTCATATGTGAAGGCATGAATGAGTGGAGGGTTTTGTAGCAGGAGGCACTTGAGAAAGGAGTTCCCAACTTGTTTTTGCCTCTCTGCAGATCCAAGCACCGTTTTATGAGCGGATGATTGGCAGGGATCATGGGGTTCCATGCCTTTCTGGATGGAAAGCCCTTACCAATTGACCACAGCTGGCTTAATTCCTGTACCCGCTGGTGGAAACAATTCCTGAAACAAGGGCGATCTGGGGTGTCCTCCATGATATTTGCTTGACCATCAAGTTGAGTGTTGCTAAACGGGCAACCCCCCATGGCCTTGGGCTATGCGTTTCCCTCGGAGTCTCGGAAGGCCGACGCCTCGCCAGTCGCCAGGCGCCGACCCGGTGCGGCAGGACTTCGAGGGGAACTCGCCGCTCTACGGCGCAGTGCGTGCCGCCGCCGGGTCAGAGGGTCGCTGGGTGGATGCCATGGTCAGGCGGTCAGATGGGCGTGGGGGCCTGTGTGGTTCGGTGTTTTGGGTTGAGCCCTTTCTTTGTGTTTCAAAAAGACATCGAAGAAACCACTTCTGCAGATTGCTTGCAGATTGCTTGCAGCTGGCATCGAGATCATCCATGAACTCCCTTACATTGCGTCATGGATAGAAACATTCTGATATCTCGAAATTGCTGGACGCCCGCTGCACAATGGCAAATCCAATTCAGCGCCTGTTGGAGCCGCACTATGTCATGACTGGTCAGCTGGTGAATTTGTTTCCACTGCGATATTCTCAGAGTCAGTCCCATCATCTTTGGTCATGGTGTCCTTTGCCTGACTTGGCAGATCGATTGCGCCTGAGCGGGCACTGGACAGAATCAGCGTCGGGAGGATGCAGTCCTTTGGAGATTGCAGTCGGGTTGTTATATTTACGATTTGCGATTGTGATGAAGCTGGCTTGGATTTGTTGATTGCACCGCCTGAAACAAGATCGGCAATGAGCAATGTGCGCCGCGGCCCTTCAGATGTGAATTGATGTGGAGCATGAAGAAGATAATGGGCCATTTTTGCAAATAGAGTATCTCCTCATGCAGCTACAGCCGGCACAAATGGTTTCCCATTCGTGTTCACAATGGTACTTGTAGGCCGCGCCGAACAATACTACAATCATGAGTTGCTGATGTTTGGATAGAGAATGACATGCCTGACACTGAGACAGCCCTTGGCATCAATTGACCATCGTTAACGATGTGTTGAAGCAGAAGAGCCGCATCGCTCAAGACACTCGCTTCCTGCCTCAAAGGGCACAAGAGACTCTAAGAGACTTAAAAGCGGACCTTAGACACAAGCAAACTGACACATAACAACTATACTAGTGTACTTTACAAGCGACAATCCACTTGAGCCCTTGTTGGTGTGCTGGATTGATGGCTTTTGAAAGAAGCACTATTTCCCAGTGAAAGCCCATGATGGGTTGGGGCACCTTTCGTAACAGGGCTTATTCCATTTGACCAGGCTTTCTCGGAGGGGAACCCCCCTTTGAGGAAACCCATTGGCTATCCTTTTTGATTTTGAGTTCGTTTTAGCATCGGCCCTCCTTTTTTGTTTGTCTTGAAAACAGATGGATTCCATTGATGCGAGGTTGATTTGGCAGGGTTCCGCCACAAGTGGAAGGGGGCGAAATGACCCATGTGATGCGCAAAAGGCCCATCCCGAGGACACCTAGGGCGTCAGCTGAAACTCCCGTCGCCATATCGGCTCACAGCTGGGGTTTTCCAGCACCAGGGCTTATTGGCCCAAGATAATTTCAGAAATGGCACATGACCTGAAGAAAGGCCAAGCTCGACCCTACGCAACCCCAAGGTTCATAGTCAACAGTGGCCAAAGAGCTTGTAAAACTTTGCTCTGTGATCGTGACTAGTACCCCGCAAGCCCCGTTCGAGTATGCTTGTTTGTAGTATGTTTCCCCCTTGGGTTGAACACTTTGGGTTGCTGAACCCAGTTAAAATATGTTGGAATCCACTGACTGCTTGGACCGGTTGCTCGAGACATGGTCGGGCAATGCAGATTCGTCTGAAGCGGGCGAAAGTCAACAAAAAGCAAACCTGGATGAATCCAGCCAAAGCCCACCTACTCGCCTGCTTGGGGTCCTTTAAACGATGCCACGGTGTACTCATTCCAAAGCCAGAAACACAGCCGGAAGAGCCAAGAGCAGCAGCATACAATAGCCGAGCTGTCCAAGGGTTTGGGCAGGCGCGTTTTTGAATTTGGGAGATAGGGTGGGAGCTCTCATCTCTTGAATTTAGCATAGTCCGTGCTGTCGCTTTCAACTCTTAGATACTCAGGCTATGACACTCATTGGCACACCATTCCTGGATTTAAGATTGCCTCATGGATTTCGGGATGTTTCTCGTGCGTCACTTTCGCCCATGAAGCGTAAGTAAGCCCAATAAGATTTGCCCAGCACTACATAGCATATTGTTATTCCCCCCCTCAAGAAAGCCACGAAAGGATGAGTTCCCGACCTTGTTCGACCTGTTTCCAGACCCGCTACTTAGCCCCCCTGGCAAATGTGCCCCCCCCCAGGCCTTCAAGAAAGAGGAACCTTCGAGGTCCGCCCCATCCACTTTCCCCGCCTATGGAAGTGGGCGCGGCTGCTGCTGCGGCGGGCGCGGCGGGCCTTCATTTGGCTGGTGCGGGCGCCCAGGGCCACGTTCGAGATGGCTGGAAGGTGACTGGGTGCCAACTAGCCCACATGTTGTGTGTTTTGAAAAGAAGTGTTCCCAAAAGGAAGCCAAAAGTGGATGTAGATTTATTCTCTTTTTGTTCCGACCCCCCCCTTCTGTGCCGCCCAGATGGGCATGTGTCAAAATTGTGGCAACCCCAGAATGGGTGGTCTTTCCTTTGGTTGCCCTGGAAACCGAGGGGGACAGGGTACCTTTAAAACACACAAAGAAAGAGACACACGGAGTCCCCTATTCTAAGACACACCCACAAATAGAGGCTTGCTGATGTTCGCGGTTTTACAGGGTTGCTTTGAAGGCTCTTTCCGTTCAACTTATTGCATTTTGCTGGGGGGGCGTTTGTTACGTGTTAGATTAACTGTGCATTCTGGGTTGTTCAAATAAATCCTCAATCCTTGTGCCAGATGGCGGTGGTTTCCCTTGTTGTGGCAATGTCCCACTCAGATTGCTGGCTAGGATCCCACCTTTTTGAGCAACCCAGTTTCGCGAAACCTAGGCTACAACCGCTCCAACTACTTCGAGAACTTGCACCTGAAGCAGAGCCGGAACTTCCGCCGGCAGCAGATCGTCACTTCCCAGGATGGTTCGCACAGAGCGATTCCTTCCGTTTAAAGAGGGCCGCCACTGCCCCGACTCCATTGCATACCCCCCAAGGGGAAATATGGTTTACAAGCCCCCATGCAGACTGCATAAAGGGTGACAACTCCATGTTGTCTTCGGGGTGGAGGTTGGGGTATTCAATGCCCTCTGGGCTGAGTCATCCAGCTGGTTACTGTATTTCCAACAAGTCGATACAGCCTTGATATTCCTTGGCTCGTGCAGCACCTAAGCCTTGGGCTAGACGCTATGGCCCATATTGCCCTGTAGAGTGCTGCTTGGCACACCTTTCTTGGGAGCAACTCTAACAGCACAAGTAGGAGAAAGCATCAGCGTCCAAGTTGCACTCAACCGGCAGCCATTGTTTGTCTTGACATTCGCAGGCCCGCATAAGATAAGAGACTACTTCCGACTACTTCCCGATATTAAAACACTGACTTCCTTTGACGCCCGAGACGCGCTCGCTAGGCGGACCTCTTCCGTGCTGACGTGGAGCAGGCGATCGGCGCCTCCTGCGCGGTCCAAGACCGGCTCATCGTGGTGCGGCTTGGCGAAACCAGCGCGGGTCGGGCAGCTGAGGGGTGAACATTCAGAGGCAAAACTTCCATTGTTGGTTTCCAGGACTTGGGATCTCCGTTGTGGCCCATCGGAACGGGCCATGTGTGTGTGCGTGTGTGTGTGTGCGTGTGCGCGGGTGCGGGGCTAATACCCGATTCAACAAGGATCACGGTCCTAGTCGTACTTTGTAAAGTAAATTTCACCAAGGTCGCAAACGACGGGTCTTCAGGGCTGTCAAAACATTGCCGTGCCTTGGAATGCGCGGAACATCATTCAACTCCAGGGAGAGGAGGTCTCTTGGACAGCGAGAGTATCCAGTTTAGGAGTCGCGGGTGGCCTTTGCATTTTGACTGATGCGCCGTGCCTCAACTTGTATTACGTGTTTTCTGTGTGCCATTGTTGTTTGTTCAAGGTGCCTTAGCCAACCATGGCGACAGTGCTTGTGTGTGTGTGTGTGCTGCTCATGTCAATGAGCCTGGCCTGACTCCTGTTTTGCGGACCGATGGCAGTGTGCATGTTCGATAGCATGGCGAGGGAAATTGGCAGCGCCATTTGATTATGCTTGATTGAGGTCCACAAGTTGCAGTGTGGTGGCATGTTGACCGAGTATCGCGGTTCTTGACCCTGAGTTACTGGTTCACTTGGTGCATAGTATGTCTATTGGAGCTTGATAGAGCATGGGTCGTTGCGGGAATTTATCCTCCAGCATTTCGCGCCCATGAACAGACAAATGATGTTAGTAGCTGGCAGCCTGAGGTCTGCATTGTTGCTTGGCCTCTCCGCCCACACGCAGCTGGGACCCAAACTTACAGCGTCAGATGCTTCTGGCGGTTGGTTGCCGTGGCTGCTTTTAGCAGTGTCTGCAGCAGGGCTGCTTCTGGGGAAGACGTAGGAATTCATCTCAATCTAATTGTAAGGCAAATCGGCCCGGCTAGGGCTTTCCACAACGGCTTGTTTCTGTGGCATACACATCGCTGCCCTTTTGCAAGCTGCTGATACTAGAACAATTTCAAGGCAATCATTTCTCAACTTGGGCACCCCTGAATTCATCATTGTGCAAAACGATCCAGTAATTACAGATTATCGACAGACAGATTGGTACAAATCAACACTTTGCATCAATGCGAGGGTCACAGTGTCACGGACATTCAGGGGCGACTAGGGGGGAGGCATGCCTGGACAATCCTGGGACAAGCCAAGGATAAGCCCCTAAATAGAGCCTTATTTGTGTTTTGTCAATATGCGGGATCGTCCCCTTGCCGTAGACACCTTTATAGCGGAAGTCGTTTCATCTCTACTACGTGTTCTTCCATCCACCACAAGGCTGCGGCCCAATCAGAAGTCAGCACGCATTGTGGGAGGGGGAAAGGTACATGTGGCCATGGATTTTAATTATGGGGAATGCAGTTACAGAAAGGTTGACACATAAATACCCAGGCAAATGATATGTTTGCAAACGGTCCCCAATTGAAGTTGATACCCATCTACCCATGTTCAAAAGTGTACATTCCTTGATAGAGAGGGCACGAGGAAGCTGCCAAAAACGAGAGACCGCAAGCTGCTGGTACCTGAGTTTTTTATGCCACCCAACTCCGTCCCTGCGACTTGGCGCATTGATGCGGAGGGTCAAGCGGCTGTGCAGGATGACTTTCATGTGCTTACCAGTCGGGTTCTACGCCGTTCCCCCTAATAATAAACGCAGACCCCCCCCAAGTAATAAATGCTCTTTGGGGGACAACAAAAATATTGATAGGGTTTGGGTCGACCGCATTTCCCTGCGCGTTTTAGAACGAGCCCAGCCAAGCTCACTACTTTTTTTGGGGAAATAACGAGGTGAGCGACGAGGTGATTTAGTAGAACTAACAAGGTCAGCAACGAGGTGATTTAGTAGATAAGGAGTGCCCTGTATTTGGTGGGGTTCCCTTTGATCGCTTCCAAAAGCAATTACCTGGCCCGACAAGTTGTTTTTAGGACTTCATTTGTTGCCCTGAAACGATGCCCCGGGCTCGGACAAGCAACTTTTCGAGCCGGAATGAGTCTTTCCTTACACCCCATCACTTGTGTTGAAGCCTTAAAAAGCTCGAGACTGAAATCAAACTTTCGAGCCCCGAAAAGTTGATTTTGGGACTTCACGTTTTGTCCTTGGAGCGAGCCACGAGGCTTGGAGAAGCAGCTTTGGGAGTCTCTAAAAAGCGCGGCTGGAAATACAACTGCTTGAGCCACGAGAATTGTTTTTGGAATCACATTTTTGGGCGGTATTTATCCAGAAAGCTAAAATGTGTCAGAACCCTCTTAGATTGGCAAGAGGCCAATACTAAACTGCCCGATGTCTCCGCCAAGACCAGCCCCAGCCTTATTAGGGGGCTCCTTGCACCAACCCAATACCAAATACTAGATTCATAATTCATACTTACCTTTTACTAATTTACATGTATTTGTTGAACTGTATTTTTTTTTTTAAACTGCGCCCTTTACTTTTGAACCGCAAAAACGAGAAAACAACCTTGCACGGATTTATCTAAATTCGTTAGTCGGAAGATTCCAATTTTGAGTTTTTTCGTGTCCGGGAAGTAGGAGCCCATTTGGACGAGGACCGAAGAAGAAATCTGGGCGTTTTATATTAATTCTTACCTCGTCACTTCGTTGCTTAAATCTTTTTTCAGGTTTAGTGCCTCGCCTCGTTACATCTGGCTTGGGTAATAGCACCCCGTCTCGCCTCGCCTCGCTAAATGTCTGCTTTGGAATTAGGACCTAGCTTCTCTAGCCTTACCACAACGCAGCACAAGGGAAAGGAAAAAACCCTCAGCGCGGACGTAGCCTGGCTGGGGGTTCGAAGCGCTCCAAAAGCGTCAAACAGTCAAGTTCCAAAAACAACTTTTCGAGGTTTGAAAAGTTGATTTCTAGCCGCACGTTGTTTGGTGTATCAAAACAATCCGAAGAAGTGCATCCGTTGCCTATCCAAGCCCGGGCCTTGTTCCAAGGGCAAAGACGTGAAATCCCAAAATCAACTTTTGGGGGCTCGAAAAATTGTTTTCAGTCTCGAGCCTTTTCGAATTTGAAAACAAGTGATGGGGTGAAAGGAAAGACTCAATGAGTTTCATTCCGGCTCGAAAAGTGTTTATCCAAGCCCTGGCCATTCCAAGAGCAAAATAATTGAAGTCCCAAAAACAACTTGTCGGGGCTGGAAAAGTTGATTTTGTATCCCCGAAAGCTTGCGCAGAAGCAGCCCGACCAAACAAAGGGCCGCGCAAATTGGGCTATTCTAAAAGTAGTATTGGGGACCCGGCTGCTTGAACCAATCTGGGAAAATAGTATCTGTTAAAAGGGTCCATCTAGAAAAAGGGGGAGAGAATTGGTGTTTTTCGGGGGAACCCAAAAGAGGTTCATCATTTGGGAGGGTCACCCGATTATGACACATACTGTCACGTTCCCATATCTGCGCTTCAGGGCTTTCGCCTCCAGCCACCGAAGAACTCAGGAAATTGGTGGGGGGATGCTATCAATAGGGACACCCACAACCTTTGACCAACTGTTGTGAAGGGGTTCCCATTTCTGGAAGCACGCATATAGTGGGAACAAGGTAGTACAGCTGCGCGGCTCTCATCGGCATTGGGTTTGTGCCACACCAAAAGCCACTGGGCCCCGGAGTAACATGTTCACTCCGTGCCAAGGTATGGCTTCTCCATAAATGAGCCGAAGCTGCACTTAGAGCGAGGCATTGGAAAGCACCTGATGAAGTATGCGTTTGTTTTGGATCATTCTCAAGGGTCGTCGTGTGGGCCAACGTCAGTGAATCTGCAACGTTGCTTGTGTGCACGCCAAATTCGGCAATCCTGTCAAGCCACCTGCAGGAGGCAACCTGACATGCTCAACTCTCAACAAGAACCGCTTGAAGCTGTCATCATGGGTAGGCGTTGGACACGTTCTACATACTGGTGAAATACATTGGAAAAAAGACAATAGTATGTAGCTGGTTTTACGGGAAGCAGGCTGGCCATAAATGAAGCATGTAGCAGACTAGAAATAGGACAAGCAAAGGAAGCGCGCAACTGTTTCTGCATTTGTGTTTGTTTGTTTGTTTGTTTGTTCGTTCGTTCGTTCGTTCGTTCGTTTGTGCGTTTGTTCGTTCGTTCGTTCGTTCGTTCGTTCGTTCGTTCGTTTGTGTGATTGTTGGTTTTGGTTTTCTTATTTACTAATGTATGCATATATATATATATATCATGCTTTTGTCGGTGTGTGAGAGCGAAGCGCTTGGTCCTAATCCAAGAAGCAGTTTGCTAATAAGTGAGTTGTTTGCGCTAAACAGCCAAATGCGGTACCGGCTTCTCGCCAGCCTTTACGAGCCTGCTTAACATGTGATTGAGCGTTGATGAGCAGCATACGTTCATGTTGCACAACTGGGGAAGCTTTGTTTAAAGTATAAGACACTGGCAGAAGGAGATGATTAATGTGTTGACCTGCATCAAGAAGTGGCTGGTCATGACCATCGATATTTGAGGAGAAGCACCGACCACCCTCGGAATACAAGGTTGTTGCACAAGAGTGGAACGATGATCTATCGTTATATCGGGTTGAGTTTGTGAGTTTACACGCCACTATCTGAATATCGGCCATACCACAATGTTCTTCCTTTACCTGCCCTGGCTCGCTTGAATGTTCGGGCACTGTAAGGATCCTGAGCAGCCGTGGCACGTCGCAATGTTGGCGGGCCTTGCCCAATCACGCAGTGTGCATCAAGCGATCCGAGGATCAGACCAGGGACTTTTTGCAAGCTTTGCCGCTTGACGCATTCTTCCGGGTGAACGGGGAAAAGAGAACCCTTGAACAGGGTGAACCCCGGGAACCCCAAAGTTATGCAAAATGGTTCTTGTCACAGGTGTCCCTTTTTTCTTCAGGGCTGATGGTGATTTGAGGCATTACTCTGGTTGACAAACAGGATCAGCATGCATGCTTTGCTGGAGGCACATAATATTACCGCTCAAACGTTTAGGCTTACCCGGTCCATCTAATTTGCAGCTGCTAAAACGCACATATTCGTCAGATTCATCTGGCTTTGCTGGAATGGTTTTATTTTGATGGGCATGTCGTTTGAGAATACAGTTGAGTTTCAAGCGTTTAGCAGTACATAAGGGAAACAAGTGTGTCCAAAAGGCACCGGGGTTGCGAATCTGGTTCTTTTGAGACACCACTGGAAGCCTCTTGGTCCAAGTGGAGGTTCTACCTTAGTGTCAGCAACTCCTTCCTGTACTTTCTGATGGCCTTGATCGCCTCCACCAGTGGCTCAAGCGGCAAGCCGAAGTTCGAAAACCGCGGGAACCTAATGCCATGGAAAGAAGTTAGGGGGTCCGGAAAAGGCTGGTGTTGGACTCACTGGCTGAGTTCCTCCAGTTTATTCTTGGGAAGACCATTCTGGTGGCCAACAAACAACTGTTGTTGGCCAATTCACTTCGGAACGCAGTGAAGTTCGTTTGCAGTGGGTGATTGCCCCGTTGGTCACAAAGTAATGCCCTAGTTGACGGTCATCCGGGCAAACCTTGGATATTCGAGGGATCCGTTTTTGCGGATTGAACGCCCATAGTGCGCTTGACTCAACCAACACCTCGATTGAAAAACACAACCTCATCTTGGTTACCCTTTGAATGGATCAAGGTTTGGTTGGTTGCACAAAAATTTGCCCAACCCTGACCAACATATTCGGGTGCGCTTAGCTCAGGGCATCCGACATTTTCAACTTCTGAGGCCCTGTCGAGATCTATGTTAGAACATGTCAACTCAAAACGAGTCACTGTTGGTATTCTCTCAGCACGGTCCCGAAGATGTCCCTAGCTTCACACACACACACAGGCAGTTCATGGGTCAGACTAACAAAAGCACATGCTGCGACTCCCCCACGCATCATGTCCGTCAACGGTTTGCCTCATGTGGCCTCAGGTGCAAACATTTTGGCCCGGAAATGCCAGAAGGAGCCGCGGAATTCCGGGGAGCCTAAACAGAATCTAAGAAACATGTTCCAGCTTACACCAAAGGACAATGCCCGCTTAGAAGCACCGCAGGCGCACACTCAATAAGCCAGGAAAATCAACACTGCACCAGCGGTAATTTCGTGGATGGACAGCAACCCCTTAGTGCACAATTGGAAGGTGGCAACCAAGTTTCGGCAAAGCAGGAGGGGTGGAAGCACTGGGAATCAACGAGAATTCTCATGGAGCCATGAATAGCTTGGTGCCCGCAAGGTTGCATATTTGTCGGTCGAAAGCGCCGTCAGCATACGATGATTCACCAATGTGCCATGTGGATACGCCTTGTTTGAGGCTTTTGGATGTGGTTTTTTGGAGGCTTTCTTTTGGGATCCTTCGAAAGTGAAGCCAAGGGAAGTCACCCAAAGGTGCTCCCCCCATCGGGCAACAGGCTCATCTTGCCAATAGCCTAGGTTTACTCCCAGCCAACAGCATTTTGGCCACCCTTGTAATTTCCTTCTTTGATTTTTGAGCATATCCAAGAAAGGGGAAGGCTCAGCGTCTATTTGTGCCTTCCCTCCTTATCAATGAGTTGATTGACCATCCCTAGCAATTTCGAGGCAATAGCAAAAGTAAAGAATCACTTGATTTGACTGTGGAGCATGTGCTGCATGCGTAACGCTGCCGAGTTTGGGGAATATGCACCAGTGGTGCCTTGTCCTGCTTTTTGAGAACCCGGTGACTTTACCCATGTATTTTTGATTTCCACACTTCCACAAATCCACGCTTCCACGCTTCCCACGCTGTTGCTTCCACGCCACCACTTCGACGGAGCGTGAGAATTGACAGAACGTGGTGGTGGAGTCTGGGCAAGACGTGGCTCCACTTTGACACTTCCATTGTCGTGCTTCCACTTCCACGCTGGAACATCTTTGCTTCCACTTCCGCAATTCCACACCCGCGCTTCCACCTCCACATCTCCACGGTTGTGCTTCCACTTCCACACTTCACTGTTGTGCTTCCACTCCCACACTTCCACATCCACGCTTTCACTTGCAAACCTTGCACCTGTGCCTCCAATCCCAGACTTTTACATGTATGTTGACACTTCCACACTTCCGCGCTCGTGCTTCCACGTTCACTCTTCCACGCCTGTGTCCACTTTTGCACTCCTCAGACATGCGCTTCCATCTCCACATCTCCACACCGATGGTTCCACCAAGTGTGTAGTTGAGGCCTGGAAGGTTGGCGACCTTGAAGACTAATGACCTTGGCTCCACAAGTTCCACAAACTGACCCTCAACTTTGTTCCACCAATGTGTAGTTGAGGCCCGAAAAACAAACAATGTTGGTTCCTAAAATTGTGTAGTAGAACGACTTCTGACGCCGATGCATTGGCGGATGATCGCCCGAATAACCCGCCATCAGTGATGGCTCTCCATCACTGAGATGGTCTGAGAAAACCAGTCCTTACGAGGAGAGGACGACGGGCCGCGTTCAGGGAAGAAGGCCGCAAAGCAGCCGAAGCCGAACACAAGAAGCGCGCCCGGAAGCAAAGGAATAACAAGAAAAAGAGGCAAAGTCCGACCCGGCGCTGGCGGACCTCCTAGCTGCGGCGCCGCCTCAAGACAAACCAGAAAGCCCACGGCGCAGCTCGGCGCACAGGCAGGCGTCGTCATTTTCGGCCCCTTCGCGGCGTTCTCAACTTATTCTCGACCACTCTCAACGCATTCTCGACCTGCTCTCGGACTGCTACTACTTACTACTACTACCGCCACTACTACTACTACTACTACTACTACTACTACTACTACTACTACTGCTACTGCTACTGCTACTGCTACTTCTACTGCTACTACTACTACTACGACTACTACTGCTGCTAGTACTACCACTACTACTACTACTACTACTACTACTACTACTACTGCTACTACTACTACTACTACTGCTACTTCTACTACTACTACTACTACTACTACTACTACTACTACGACTACTACTACTACTACGAGCTACGAACGACGAACGACGAATGATAAACTACGAATTACGAACTACTATCTACTACCTACTAACTAACTAACTAACTAACTAACTAACTAACTAACTAACTAACTAACTATCTAACTCACTAACTGACTGACTGACTGACTGACTGACGGACTAACTGACTAGCCATCTGACTACCTAACTAACGAACGAACTAACTAACTAACAAAGTAACCAACCAGCAAACAAACAAACAAACAAACAAACAAACAAACAAACAAACAAACAAACAAACAAACAAACAACAACAACAACAACAACTACTACTACTACGACTACTGCTACGGCTACTGTGTTGGGCTATTTGGGACCCGCAAGCCGAAACCCGCTTCCAACACTTCCCACGACCTTCGTCAACACATTGACATGCACGTGTGGGGGGATGCCGCTTCGAAACCTTCCTCACAACTGCCAAGAAGCTTCCAGCCTTTGTCAGCCAGTGGAATTCAGCTTGGGGGTATTGGTTAAAAACAACGCAAAACGATATTTTTTGACCTTCAGCCTCGAATGTCTGTCTCAAAGCTCCATACGGTAGCAGTATCTTACATTTGCCTCTGCCATTGGGTAAAACATCTGGATCGTTTCCGAACCTGATCAAAAGGGTCACTCGCCTTTGTGACTCGGACATGTTGGATTTGTCGCTGTATTTTAAACCACAAACTGATCGCAACAGTGCCACCACAGCTCTGAGGCTATGACTTTCCAATACACGAAACATGTTCAACAACATCTTCAAACAGCTTCTGAACGTTTTGCGCATGTGCGGTTCGCATTTTTACTACTACTACTACTACTACTTCTACTACTACTACTACTACTACTACTACTACTACTACTACTACTACTACTACTACTACTACTACTACTACTACTACTACTACTACTACTACTACTAACTTGCTGTTGATCCGGATTTATTTTTATCCCTCAGCCAAGGCTTCCATGACCCCCAAATCATTACCCGCAAGAAAACATGGGACATTAAACATAAGTCAGAGGGGGTTGGGCCAACTTCCTTCTCAATGTAATGGATATATGGGTTAACGTGGGTATATTAAGACCAATTCTGTTGGATTATTTTTCAACTGATTGTTGCCTCTTGGTCTTGGGGGGTATAGTGCGTACTGCTACTCGTGCCGCCCATGCCTATAAAACACAAGCCATTTGTTCAAGTTGAGCTGTGTGGCCCAACTACAAGCTGGTTTAGGAGCGAAGGGTTTGTATAGTGAGTATATTCCAAACACTCCACGTGCAATATTCACCCACATTTACACTCCAAATAGGTCACATGTTGGCACACATGGATTGTGCGTATTCTTTTTCACCTTGGGCATCGAGTTTGGAGAGAGCTTCAGATTTTCACAGGAGCTGCTGAACAACTGCGTGCGCCCGCCCTTCGCTGACATGATGCGTGCCCTTTGACTTCTGTTATTGTGTTGTTTCGTGTTTTTCCCCAACGGGTCTCAGCCTAGATAGGCTCCGGGGTGGTCCGGGGCGGCCCTGAGTAAGGTCCACGAGGGTTCCACCTATTTTTATTTGGGTGTGTGTGTGTGTGGTAAACAACTTCTAGTGGAGACTGGTTGGTTGGTTGGTTCCCCTTTTGACCCATGACTGGGATGACTTGGGTGATATCATGGGTCAGTTGGATGTTGCTGGTTGGTCAAAAGGAAACCAGAACATGGGATTACCCACTGCCTCCCAAGTAGGCGAATGGTTTCCCTCTCAAGCTGCGCTTTGCTGATTTCCGGGTTCTCTTTCAGGGGGAGCTATTTTATGTCATCTCCTTTGGCTAAAGGCAAACTCTGCCTCAAGTTTTCAGCAATCATAGGGCGACTAAGAGTGGGACTGCCCATGGACCTCAGGCCAATACAAAGGCGTGAGTCCACCTGCTTGCCCACACAGCAATCCGCTCAAAGAGTGGCCCTAGGCCAATCCGTGGTTTACAAGTTGGTAAGTGCATGAGTGCTTCATTCCCACTGGCTTTTAGCGGAGACCCGAGTTGTTGGCCAATCCTGTAGCGGGAGAACTGGATCAACAAACCAGGCAGTATGAGCGGATGTGCCCAATGAAATCAACGAGGGGATTATTGATTTGGGGTGTGGTTTCCATGGTTTACCTGGCCTCAAGGGTAGGGCAAAGGTGGATGGACACGAATTGGAGTACAAATGAACGGCCCTCACAGAACGGTTTCGAAAACATATGTTTCATGTCAAACCTAAATGAAACACTGCTGAATAAGCCAGCGAACAACAACAAGCACCAACGAAGCAACATCGTGCTTGTCCATCAACAGTTCTTGAGCTATGCATGATCTGGCATGTTGATCGCCCAATGCTTCACTCGTTGTGCTGATTCAGTCATGATGTTTCCTGACATGAGCTAGAAGAAAGGTGGCTGGCCCATTTTCTAGGCATCACCAATGCCCGCTGAAGAAGCCGTAGTTATTTAATAGCATCAGGTTTCCCTTGTTTCCCACTCAATTCCTTGACAAGGTGCAAGACGCCAAGAATGTGCTTGCAGAGAAAGCGACTGATTGCACTTCACCGTACCGCAGGGGACCCTACAGCAAGAGAGGGCTTACCAACAAGCAAAATTGTCCATACTCCACCCTATGGTTTTCACGCCATTTAAAAAGCACCGCCCAAAACCAACCAAATATGTTTGGCATAAATCCTGTAAAAATCAATCCACCCAGCAATTGTTTTAAGTTATTCATTTTTGATAAATAACTTAAACCAACTCAATGTTCCTTAACCTCATTCTTTCTTAAATTTTCCTCGTGCCTGTAAGTTAATTCGTGTCTCGCTTTACCCATTTTCCTAATATCACAATTACACACATCACAATGAAAATTAACCTTGCTCCTCCTTTTTCCTTTCTCACGGCATCTTTCACAATTCTTATAATTATCAATGAAACAATCCACATTTCTATCTCTCCGACATCCCGAGCAATATTTCTTTTCCATAACCTCTAATATAGAATACCCCACTACCCTTTAAATAGTTTTAGACACGAAGCTCTGCCGAGTTCGTGAGGTTTCACGACACAAATAATATTTTTGCTCTGGGGCAAGACCCTCATAGAAAAAAAACCACCAAACAACAAACCAAACAAAAAACCAAACAACAAACCATACAATAGACCATTACAAATATATTGAATAAATCTAATAATTTTATCTTATTAGAACTATTCATGATGAAGTAAAGCATTTTACAGCAAATCGCTTATTTTATATCCAATAAATAATATCTATCAAGTTCATGCTCGTAAAATAATTGCACAGCATTAATATCTATATAATATCTATTCTTGATTTTTTTGTATTTAAACATATCATACAAGAGGCGATTGTTTAATACTGAACTTGAACCCCTAAAACGAAAACGATGGGTAGATATAACTTGACAGATATTTTTTCGTGGAACTAATTTAGTTTCTGCATTCTTTAACGCTTGAATAAATTTATTATATAATTCAGTTTTTTCTTCTTCTCTTCTCTTCTTCTCTTCTACTTGTTTAGTTTTACATTCTTTGCATAATGTTATAGTTGTATCACTCGTAGGGAAATCATCATGAACTCGTGTTTCTTTTACACATCCACAATCTTTAGTATCTCTTGATTGTAAAGTCCATCCCATATTTATCACTAATATATATAGGTATTATTTCTTTAAACCTTTTTAGTCTAAAACTATAATTTCAACATGTCATGTCGCAATAGAGGTTTGGGAAAATCACTAACATGATAATACTTCTGCCCCAATTTATTTTCTATTTTGGTTATTGTATGGACTGTCCTTAACCAATGACTGGTTCTCTCTTTCTCGCTAATCGCTTTCTTCCTCATTATCTTGACTTTGTCCCCTACATCTAAATCAGGATACACACGGGTTTTTCTGGCATTCATTGATATATTCAGTTTCACCTCAAACTCATTTTTCTTTTTCCTTGCTTCTAATGGTGTCATTTTCGTAACGGAACTTACTAATTTATTATTATATGTCAATAATATTTCTAAATTGTAATCTATCCATTGTATATTGTTGCCTTTCTTTTCATCCGCATCAACTCTTTTAAAAAGCATATCTTTGTAGGTTCTAATAAATCTTTCTCCAAAAGCAGGGTGGCCTCTCGTGGTGTGTAATTCAATTTTTTCCTCATCAAGATAATCTGTAATGGTAGAACTAAACAAACTGCCTTCTTCGTCGCTGTATATCATTTTGGGTTTTCCGCCCATTTTCTTAATGCCTTCCATTATTCCTGCTAATACGTCTGGCGGTTGCTTACTCGCAATAGGTATTACAGTAGCATATTTACTAAATATATCAATTAATATTAATCCAATTCTAAACTTTTGATTGTCCAAATCATTTTTTGAAATAAAAAACAAATCTAACTGAAATTCCCAGAAGGCATGAGGAGCAACAAAACTATTCTGCCCTCGCATTTTCCTTTTTTCCTCAACATTCTTTTTAAAGAACTCATTAACATCGTCCGCAGTAATAGTTTTATCTTTCTGTCTGGCATCTTTCAAAGTTATTGCTTTACTACCGTATCCGCTTTTGTCATAGTAAATATCACTAATTATTTTTTGTTTATCCATATAATAAATTAAGATTTATTATATTGATAATATTATTTATAATTTAAATTCAGGATAATAAGTTAATTGATGATTATTAAATTGTGTATATATCTTACGTCTGTCATGCATCAGTTCAAAAATAATATTGATATCTCTCACGGTATTTTTCACATTAAACTTTTTGCTTTCAATTTCTGATTTAATGTCTTCTTTTACATCACACCCTTCTCTTCTACGATGTAACAATATCCATAAAATGTGGTTAATCAGTTCATACTTTTTCTTACTGATTTTGAGAAATATTCTAACATAACTATAAGGTGGTCTTTCATACACAGTTAAACATATTATAATGTCGTCTTCAACATTTCTATTATGTCTTCTTTTCAGATTTAAATGACATCTGATTAATTCTTGATTATCTCTCCATTCCTGACAAATTTTACATTCATCTTCTTCACCCAAAGCATAATCAATAATATTATTAACTATTCCATTAGGTAAATTCATTTTGTATAATTCCATATGTTCTTTTTTGAAGTGGCAACAGTCATAGCATTTCTTATTGATATAATTATTTACTTCTTGATCCTTCATTACTCTCTACTATATATAGGTATTATTTCTTTAAACCTTTTTTAGTCTAAAACTAAGATTTTAATATAAAACATATTAAAATCTTAATGAGCTGAAACATTACAATATACACAGAATGAAGTTGAATTATCTATATGGTGAGCGATTGAATTATCAAGGCGCTGACAAGTAAAGTTGCTACATAATTTACCTTTCTTCGTTTCAAAGTTAAATGAAGTATTACACTTTTGGCATCTGGCGCGAAACTGTGATAAACACCATTCAGCACTAATGTATTCTTCCTCATTAATTTCTCTTTGAGCGCGACGGTCTTGTATCTTATAATTGTCTACTTTGTTTTGAAAATATCTCATTATCATATTTTTATCCATGTGCTTATCAAAGTCTGGATTACAATAAAATTTAACTTTCCTAAAATCAACACATCTTGTAATCGCTGTCCATAAAAACTCTCTACTTACAAATGGTAAATTCCATTCATGTATTGTCATGCTTTCTTTTACACTTGCTCCCTGCGATGAGTGAGTAGTAGCACAATACGAATATATAAAATTAGCATCTACAATAGGTTCAAACAACACAAATTTATCTTCTTCCCTTGCTATATTTTGTAATGTTATTTGTTTTCCTAATTCATCATCTTGTATATTTGTAATCCTGTATCTCAAGTTTATATTAACTCTGGGTTGTTTAATCCACTTTCTGGCAATTAAAATATCACCCACTACATACTTGGCATTTATGTTTAATCTCTCTCTGATTTCACTTGCTACATTTCGGCATCTAATATTGGTATAGGCGATGTTATGATCCGATGCCATTATATCATCAGTGAATTCAAAATATTTGGGTATGATGTCATTAATTGGCAATTTATTTTCCCAAAAGTCAGCATACATATCATTAATTATTGCTCTGTTTCTTTCTCCTTTTTCACTATCTTTTGCACCTACTCTTTTACAAATTGTTAAGAAGATGTTGTATTTAAAGATTGTGTCCAAACAATTATCCATGTATGTCGCTGGATCTTGGCAGTTAGTCAGAATTTCTACTCCCTGTAATTGCTTGACATCACCAGTAGCAACAACAATTTTATCTGGATTATTCTGAATGAATAACCTTACTTTATTCAATACATATAAATTTGCCATATATATTTCATCAAATACAATTATATCAAATGGCGAGTAATCATACTGTGGCAATTTCTCTCCGGCATCTTCAT